AGACTTACATGCTGACAAAACACTCATATGCATAAAATGATGATGATGATGATGATGATGATGATGATGATGATGATAAATTGTGTAGCATTGCAGTATTAGCATTTTTACCTCACTGGGCCCCATCCTACCCACCACCTCCAGAACCTTGCCATCTCCCCAAACTCAAATTCTCCTTTGTTAGGGTCCTGGATGAGTCCCACAAAGACCACCATCCATGTATGCAGTCAACAAGAGCGTTTATTATCTTGAGAAAGCTTCCAGTGTCCTGGGACGGACCATTCTACACAAAGGCAAAATGCTGATGACCTCGAAAGGAGCTCACAGTAGCTCCTTGTAGGCATAGCCCAGGGGAATTCCTGAGCTTTTAGGTCACTTTAGATATGATAGGCCTAAGCAAGTGACAATCATATTAGTAGGTTCTAATTGGCCAGGACTAGTCAAAGGCTGGTCATGGCTACTGTTTTTCATTTTGGGACAGGTGTGGACAAGTCCCAGGCTTTGTCCTTATTTGGTTATCACCTTGAGCTTGATGACTGTGATGGCTTCAGCCATGGGGTGCCAGGCATCCTCATCCTTGCTGTCAGAGGTGTTGATTAATGGCCCTTTGGTTGTGGGTCCCTCTGAAACTGCTTGTTCAATCTCAGGAAACTGAAATTGAGGCCTAATCTCTGAGAGAAGACTGAGCAGTCTGTAATGACATCTACTTGTTCCTCTCACGCTGGTCCTCTCACTCCCAGTTCTTGGACAGTCTTTGAAAGGAAAAACTCCCAAGTGAGGACTTAGCAATAATATTTTGGTACAGGGTGCTCATGATATGGGGACCTGAATACTAGATAAATGCCTGCCAAACAATGGTCCCTGGGAAGAATCCTTATGTCTTAGTGAGAGATGGAGCCGAGTGGTGGTGGCACACGCCTTTAATCCCAGCACTCGGGAGGCAGAGGCAGGTGGATCTCTGTGAGTTCGAGGCCAGGCTGGGCTACAGAGGGAGATCCAGGACAGGCACCAAAACTACACAGAAAAACCCTGTCTCAGAAAACAAAAAGAAAAAAAAAAAGGAAATGGAGGTGATGTACACTGTGTTCTTTGAGGTGTAGACAGGTCTGTTAGTAAGCCAAGTTGAGCTGAGAAACATGACCAGGCAAGATAGGTGTCCTCTGCCAGACCAGCCTTAGGCACAGGGCTGGGGGGTATCAGGTGACAGGGCCCAGCACAAATCCAGGAGAGTAGAGTGGGCTGTGTGTGTGTGTGTGTGTGTGTGTGTGTGTGTGTGTGTGTGTGATGCTCCTGATGGCTGGGATGCTGGGGATGATACTTATAGCTTTTGTGTGCCGTGAATTGTTATTATTTGACTCTCTGAGCCCGGCTTCCCATGATCCTTGTCTTCCAGATCCTCCCTAGGCTGCAGGCCAAAGATACCATGTTGAATGTGGTGAACTGCTGTTCCATGCTCTATCGTCTTCAGATGGAAGGTAGCTGAGTCTCTTTCCTCTTTTTATACAAAGAGAGAAAGTGTGATTCCTGGTCCTGAGGGTGGTTGCTGGAACCACAGGTCTTGAGATGAATGGGCCTGGCTGTAGCCCTGCATGCGAGCTTATGCAGCTGTGTCCATGCCAGTCTAAGACAACTGACCTGGCCTCAGCTGCCCTTTATTCTATTCTCCACTGCTCCTTGGTGTAGTGGCCTTAGACTCAGAACCTTGCTACTCTCCTAGCCTGCCTGGCAGGCCTTCAGGGCACAGGTGCCACCTGGCTACTGGCTGATGCCCTTGGCTCTTCTTTTTCTCGCCAGGGGTGCCCGTTGGCCAGCGCTGGCAGGCTGTCCTACCTGTGATTAAGAAGCACAACCGAGACCACAACCTTCTGTTCAATGACGCTCACTTCCTGATGGCCTCCCTGGGTGCACAGGACCTCCAGACCACACAGGAGCTGCTGACCACCCTGCAGGAGGCCAGCAAGTATGTGAGGCCCTGAGACCTTGAAACCTGCCAACTGAGAGGGTGAAGGAGGCAAGGGTTGTGCCAAGGCCTGCTAGGGGCCACCCTGCCTTGTTGGGGAAACCTTAGAGTGAGGTCTTGCTGGTGAGCAAGGCTTTGAAGATACCCATGCTTCTAGGTGGGTATCCCCTAGGTGGGTGCCCATGCAGGCATGTATTTCATAGGTGTCTGACTTCCAGGGGTCCAGCTGGTGTCCTCTTTGCTCTGAGCCTCAGTTCCTTTATCTGTTGGAAATGGTGTCTTCCGGGCTGATAGGGGCCCTTGGGGGCAGGTTGCTGCAGACACATTCATTGGTAACCATGGTAGTGCTGGCTGTTGGTGTCCAGGCTTTGCCTACAATGTGTGCAGTCCTGATCTCTCCAGAAGGGCTGTGCTATCACACCCCTTTCCAGATGGGCAAACTGAGGCTGGAAACAGGGAGCCCTGTCCTCTCCCTACAGTGGGCAGATGCTTACTGCTCCCATCAGAATGCCATCAGGCAGCTGGGGAAGGGCCTAATTTTGTGTCCCTTGCCTGGGTGAGACTTTGTAGAGGTGGATGTTTAACTTTGGTCTTGGTGACAGGTCCCCTGGGGAGAACTGCCAGCACCATTTGGCACAAGATGTGGGTCTGCCCCTGTGCCAGGCCTTTGTGGAGGCTGAGAACGGGAATCCTGACCGAGCCCTAGAACTTCTCTTGCCAATCCGCTACCGAATTGTCCAGATTGGGGGCAGCAATGCTCAGGTGAGCCATCTGTATACAGGGAACCAGAGGCTGGAGTGCCAGGTGTCTCCTGTGTTGTGGGTACTCGTGGGGTAGGGGTACCCTTGTTTCACACTGACACCAGGCTGTGCTGTTCAGGGTGGTGTTCGTCTCAGTGGTTCCTTTGGGTTGGGAGCCCATCCCTGGTCCCCAATGCAGATGCTTAACTTGCCTAACTGATTTCATAGAGAGATGTCTTCAACCAGCTGCTGATTCATGCGGCCATCAACTGCACCTCCAGCGCCCATAAGAATGTGGCCCGGTGAGCACTCTGCCCTCCCCACAGCCAGGCTGTTCCCCCATGATATCCCTATGCATGCCCCTGCCTTGGCATGTGTCCTTCTGATTTGGGGGTTCAGAAAGCAGGAGGCAAACTGGGGGTTTGGTTTTCTTTCATTAGCAGGCTGAACTTGACAAAGGGGGACAGCCAGTGCCACACTTTTGCCCAGCCTCCTGCCACCCCAGCCTACTTCCCATTTTAGCCATGCTGAAGTGAACAGATAGCCAGTGCACCTGCTCTCAGGTCCCTGCATGTGCTGTGCCCTCTGCCTGGGACATCCTGACCCCTTTTTTTGTCTGCTCTTTTAGGCCTCAGCTTGCAGTAATTTAGAAACTTCCTGGGCTGGGTGTGGGATGCAGGACTGAGTAGGTGAATGTGTGGATCCTATGAGAAAACTAGTTCATCACCAGTTCATCTGGACAGTCCCTTAACTGTGGTCAGGGGCAGAGGATGCTGGTGGATCTGGTGAGGGGTGGAGGCACATAGGGGTGTCCTGTGGGGGTGTGGAGGGAGACTAAATGCCCAGTGCACTTAGCCAGTGGGCCTGGTTAGCAGAGAACGCCATAGGCCTAGAGGCTAGGGGTGTCTGGACATCCAATAAGGAACTCCTACAGCCCTAACCATTATACTTCCCTCCCTGGCTTACCCCCCACCCTGCCAAGGAGAGGGCCCCTGGGTTCCTGTCCTGTGAGAAGTGTCTAGGCAGGTGCCCTGGCCATTGAGCCGGACCCCAGCAGTGCAGGTGATGCCTGGGAACATTTGAACTACTCTGAACTCAGAAACGCCATGGACACATGTCCCTGTATGTCACTCTGTAGATGTAACCAATCGTCTTATTAAAATAAGAAACACAGAGCCAATGCAAAAGAGAAAGCCAAGAGGTCAGAGCTCAGAGATAAAATCTTACCTCCTGCAGTGCTCCTAACTTCCCCGCGAGAGAGCTACTTCCTGTTTGTCTGTGTTTAAATAGTCTTTCTCTTCTGCCTTCTCATTGGTTGTAAGCCCAACCACATGACTGCCTCATCACTGCCTGTAAGTACCGCCCTCCAGGTCTTAAAGGCATATGTCTCCAATACTGGCTGTATCCCTGAACA